ATCAACAAGGTGACAGTTCAGGTAACCAACCAAGCTACTAAGATTCCTTACTAATCCCTAGGTGCTAGGCAGGGTACCTAGGGATGATTTTTTTTAATAAATAAAAACAGCAACCTGAAAGAGAAGAGTACAAAGCAAGGGGGGCTAGACCTTACCTTATTAATCCTAATTTGTCTTAGAAGATAATGATCGAGTATTGGGATGAAATGGTCCCGGATAGAATGGCGTGTATGTAGGATTAATATAGTTGATGCTAGCTAGTTTGAGATTAAAGCAGTAGTTGTTGTTCATTGTAAATGAAGAAAGCATAATGAAACAAAGGTTGAGACTAGACGGGAGAGATAGTTAAGTGGCTTTCACATCTAAGTATCTTCTTTTTTCATGACTGCATGGCTGCCCAACACGTGGATGCAAAATTAGACAGAAATGTTAGATGGGTCATTCAATATTAAATATTTAAAGACTCAATTTTACATGTTCTTCCCAAACTTCTCATGCTCATAATGGCTCTTATCTACATGAATAAAATATTTGATTTTGAGTTTGCATGTATTAAACATGCATTTTTCGCGAATATTCACATTAGTTGTACATATTTCTAAAATAAAACTGGTGTTCCTTGAGCAGAAGCAATTTGTTAATCATTTCTAGTACATCAGTAGGGGCAGAGAAAGATACTAAGGTTGAGAAAACATACAAGGTCTTTTTCATTTTTAACGCTCAAACTATTCTGTGACAATGTGAATGCCTCATATGTGGTAGAAGTTACTTGTTCCTTGCTCCGTTACACAGTGTGTTTGCAAATTTACATTTGCTTACTGTAAATATTGATCTTTAGGCTCATTCTTTTATGGGCAACTTTTAATAGGATGATTCATTCTAATAACCAAATGTGTCGTCTGTTTTATTGTATCTAATAATGTATAATTCTTTACTGGTTGCAGAGATTCATCAAATATCAGTTACATGTTTCGCCTACCAAGCCAGAAAGAACAGCAATCAATGTCTTCAACTCAACAACATTGGAGCAGTTCTTTGGAAATGTTTAGATCATACCAACAAGAGCTCTAGCAGATTTCGTTTATTTTAGGTGTTCTCGTCTTCTTTTTCTCTCCTTTTTGTTGTTGTTCCCTCTTTCTTCCACACTCTACTCTACTCAGCATGTGAAAGTCTTCACATGTTTTGACTCCTCATTTTTTATGGCTTTTCTTGGTATCTGCTGCTTAATAGTGTGAGATTAAGTGCACTAATAGGAGAGCACTGGTATTGTGGAAACAAATCCATCTATGTTGCTGTGTATCGATATCACCCCTCTTTACAAACATAGATGTGAGTACACTGTAATTTACTGCTACCTTGCATTTGTTTTATCTTCCTCTACAAAATGCTGAACTCAGGCCTGCATCTGTGTTGCGCTCGAGCTCTGTACTTGGTTTTATCGTCCTCTTCAATCAAAGGAAGAAACAGGAAGAAAATAGTATAAGTGAGGATCTATCTGTGTAAACTTTTAACTAAACGTAGCTCACTCCTGCAACTTCAGTTTTTTTATTTAAATTCTCAGTTTTAAATAATGATTCCATTAGATATTTTAGTTCCACTCGTTTTAAGGTATGAGTTCTGGTTTCATTTCGTCCTATATGTATAAAAATACATGATGCATATTATCTTTAATGTATTCCGAAAATTGATTAGTTTAATCTTAATCTATATAAAATTTTTAAAAAAACAATTTGTTATTATTGCGTCAAAACAAACGGAGGTGAGCACTGCACGTAAGTCAAACTACAAAATCAAGATACCATCTTGTGTCGTTCAATTCTACTACAAAATTTACATCAAAATTCTTGATCCCAGGAAAGAAGATGCCAAGAACCATGTTCTTGTAATAAAAACAAAACTAGCTTGCAGGTAAAGAGTACATGTGTTTGAGCTGCCAAAGAAGTAATAATCCTTTAAGAAGCTAGAGCAAGACCTAATTGAAAATGAAACGAATTATTGATTGTGTCATACAGATCCTTATGCCCACGTCCCAATCGTCCCCCATAGGAATATGTGGATCTAAAAGATCTTTTACAGTGTGTTTAATTTCAAAAATGGTTCAATACATATGATCAGTAACAAGAAAAATAAATACGATAGCTAAATGCCGAAGGACATAAAGATCTTTATGAAATATTTTTATAATTTTAGTTAGCCTTTCAATTTTTAAGTATAAATACGTCCTACTAACGTACTTATTTGTGCGTGGCTCGATCAAAGTCAAAACAATTTTTGAACTATTTTAAACCACTAGCAACGAGAATGTTGATATCATTTTAAAACGGTAAACCAAAAACTTATCTTCATTTCAGTATTCAGAGTTCCACACATCTCTAAACTGAGTTCTACTGAATCAATGATCAGCTGCAATCTCATTCCGCTCCCATCAAAAACCAATCTTGAACCTCCTCGAGACACCCAAGATCGTCCCTCTTCCCGTGCAAATCATCATGCACATAATCTCAGTTTTTCCCGTCACATTAAAGAACCATCAAAATACCCAAAACACAACAATTTGCGCAACTTATTATCAGTTCACACAAAGAACCCACATGCCATTTACAAAGATATTCAGAGATTCGCTCACCAAAACAAGCTTAAAGAAGCACTTACCATACTGGATTACTTGGACCATCGTGGTATTCCTGTAAACCCCACTACATTTGCTTCACTTATTGCTGCTTGTGTTCGTTTGAAATCTTTAACTTCTGCGAAAATTGTGCATACCCATGTAATAATTAATGGGCTTGAGAATAATGAGTTTTTACAGACTAAGGTTGTTAATATGTATGCTGCTTGTGGGTCGATTGAAGATGCGAAGAAGGTGTTTGATAAAATGCCTGTGAGAAGTGTGTACCCGTGGAATGCGTTGCTTAGGGGAAATGTGGTATTGGGTGGGAGTAAGTATGGTGAGGTTTTGGGTACGTTTTCGGATATGAGGGGATTGGGGGTGGAACTGAATGTGTATAGTTTCTCTTGTTTGATTAAGAGTTTTGCGGGTGCTAGTGCACTTTTTCAAGGTTTGAAGACACATGGGCTTTTGATCAAGAATGGATTTTTAGGAAGTGATATTGTTAGGACTAGTTTGATTGACATGTATTTCAAGTGCGGTAAGGTTAGGCTTGCACATCGCGTGTTTGAGGAAGTTGAGGAGAGGGATGTAGTTATGTGGGGTGCGATTATAGCTGGTTTTGCTCATAATAAGCGGCAAAGGGAGGCACTGGAGTATACTAGATTGATGATAAGGGAGGGACTAGAGGTGAATTCTGTTATCCTGACTACTATCCTTCCGGTTATTGGAGAAGCACGAGCAAGCAAACTTGGCAAGGAGGTACATGCTTATGTGATCAAGACGAAGGAATATTCGAAGCAGTTGTTCATTCAGTCAGGCTTAGTTGATATGTATTCCAAGTGTGGTGATATTATAGCAGGAAGAAAGGTGTTCTATAGGTCAAAAGAGAGGAATGCGATATCTTGGACTGCTCTCATTTCGGGTTACATTTTAAATGGGAGACTTGAACAGGCTTTGAGATCAATTTTGTGGATGCAGCAAGAAGGTTTTAAACCTGATCTTGTAACTGTTGCCACCGTTCTCCCTGTTTGTGGGAAACTGAAAGAATTAAAGTATGGGAAAGAGATTCATGCTTATGCAGTGAAAAATGGTTTTTTGCCAAACACATCTGTAAGTACGTGTCTAATGATGATGTACTCAAAGTGTGGTTTGCTTCAATATTCATCTAGAGTTTTTGATAGTATGGCGAAGAGAAATGTTATATCATGGACAGCCATGATGGATTCATATATTGACTCTGGGTGTCTTGAGGAAGCACTTGGTGTTTTCCGATCAATGCAGTTGTCAAAGCACCGAGCAGATTCTGTTGCTATGGGAAGGATTTTAGGTGTTTGTGGAAAATTAAGACTTTTGAAACTCGGGAGAGAAATACATGGTCAGATTCTGAAGAAAGATATAGCATCTGTACCTTTTGTTTCTGCAGAACTTGTGAAGATGTATGGGAGTTGTGGTGCAATTGATAAATCTAGGTTGTCCTTTGATATAATACCTATAAAAGGATCTATGACATGGACTGCTATTATAGAGGCTTATGGCTTAAGTGGCCAATACGGAGCAGCAATAAACGAGTTTAAGCAGATGATATCGAAGGGCTTTAACCCAAACCATTTTACTTTTAAAGTTGTTCTTTCTATTTGTGAGAAAGCTGGATTTGCTGACGAGGGCTGTCAATTCTTCACCATGATGACACGAAAATATAAGATAAAGGCATCCGAAGACCATTATACTAGCATCATTAACCTTCTACATCATGTTGGTCACTATGAAGAGGCTGAAAAGTTTGTGCTTCTCAAGCAATCCTCCACATGAGGTAGAGGAGAAAGATTAGCTGTATTGCAGTTGGTCGCACATGGTTATACATTCAGACCCAAACCAGTGTCTTGCAGTAGAGTTTGCTACTGTCTTTCTATCGACATAGGTGGGAAGGAACAATAATTCCTCAAGCTGAAAATGTTACACATAACGAACATGAGGAAGGACTTTCGACATGACATGTTGTGTTTGGGAAAAATATGAGATCAGTGTAACACTGTATACGTATCTGGTGGAAGATGTTAAATACAGGTTCACATGGTGCCGGTTTACCCTTCCATAGCACCATTCTGGCAATTCTTGCTTTGTTAGCTTTGTTGTATAGAACTCTGTATAGGCTCCAATATATTATGATAGATCAACAGGTTCCCACAATGGGAAGCTGAATGAAGCTTTTACTTTGCAGAAAATTGCTATAAAAGATTCTTGGAATTACTATTCTATCTATGGGTTCCTGGAGTTCACCCCCCCCCCCCACCCCCAAATTGCCCTCTGGGTTTACTTGCTGTTTTTGCCAATGCTTATATGCATGGGTGCTCGAGCCAAGGCGGCAGAAGGGAAATCCAACCACCAGCAAATCTCTGTTTCACCATGTCTACCATGGATACCATTGCCAACAACAATCAAAACGAAATGTTGCTGGATCTTGACAAAAAGACCATGGTTTGTCTGTTTCGTAACAATCCCTCCTCAATTCTTGAAAGTTTTTGAAGAAGCCATAGCCACAAATACCAATAGCTATCATCAAAGTCAGGTCAATACAGTGTATTCATCAAATTCTAAGTACAGCCCCAAAATACAGAACAGCCATCAAACTCATCTTCCCCAAATCCCAAGATATCTTCTAATTTTGATCCCCCACCAAAACCTAGCGCAAACCCCAAAGAGGACTACACCATGCAACTGCTTGTGAAAGTAGAATCACAACAATCAGAATCCTCCTCTACAACTGCCAAATTTGTGTTCCATAGCCTGATATTATCAGTAGTCTAGATGTGATGTTATTTCGTTTTTTATATTTTTGATGTAATCATTTACGGTTCAAAATCCAGAAAATGATTTGAGAAAAATATGAAAGATGTTGTTTTCACTAACCATTTCCCTCCAAAACCATCAATCTCTTCGCCATATAGCTTGGGGATCTCAGCCATGGCTTTGGAATTATCACAAAGAGAATCCATTAGCCGTTTTCCTTTCTCTATAAGTTTCATTGGCCGAGTCAAACCAGTTTGTACCTTCTCATTCCTTTATACTTCTTTACCTGATCAGCTTTGCCACAAAGATCACGTTGACAGAAGTAGTCACAAAAAAGAAGATTAAGATTCTTCCGAAAGGAGTCATAATGGCGATCCTCTTAAAGGTGCCCCCAAAATCCATGTTGAAATTCATGGGCGTTTCAAAACCATGGCTTCGGCTAATCTCTAGCCGTAAGTTAGTAAAGACTCATGTGAAATTAACAGCTAATGACAAAGAATGCAGCAATGATAGGGTCATTTTTCAAGACTCAACAGGCAATTTCAAGGTAAGTCCTCTCCCTCCCTTGTTCCGCAAAGAACAAAGAATTGAGCTATTTAACATGGATTCTCCCATGGAAAACCCCAATACTTATACTAAGATTGTGGGTTCTGTCAATGGATTGATTTGTATGTACAGTAAGATAGAGGAACCAGTCTTATGGAACCCCACAATTCGGAAATGTAAGAAAATGCCTACATTTGAAGCTAATTTGAGGAGGGGTTGCTCTTATTATCTCAACTATGGTTTTGGATATGATGAGTCACATGACGATTACAAAGTAGTAGTTGTTCAATGTATTTACGATGATGGTGGTTCATATGACACTGTAGTCAACATTTATAGTTTGAGGACCGATTCTTGGAGAACAATTGATAAGTTCCAGGGCAACTTTTTGATAAATTCTCCAGGTAAATTCGTGGATGGGAAGCTTTATTGGGCTTTATCTGCTGACATTAATACGTTCAATATATGCAACATCATTTCTCTTGATTTAGCAGACGAAACATGGAAAAGCTTGATGCTTCCGACTAGTTATGGAGAAGGCATCTATCCTTTGGCACTAGGAGTGTTCGGAAATGATCTTTCTGTGCTTTGTCTTAACTGTCACGAAGTAACTAATTCGGATGTATGGATTATGAAGCATTCTGGAGTAGAAGTGTCGTGGACAAAGATTTTCACCATCGATCATCCAAAAGATCTTGGGGAGTTCATATTTTTTTCGTCTATTTTCTCTGTACCTTCTTGCCAGTCAAATAAGGGTGAATTATTTTTACTCTTGCTTCCTCCGGTTATCATGATATATGATTGTTCAACTAGACAATTAGAGGCTGTTGATCACTTTGAGGAATGTTTTGCTGCAGAAATCTACGTCGAAAGCCTCGTTGATCCCCTATTGATAGCACAAAATGATAACTCGTAAGAATTCTGTTTTATTTTAACTGCTATCATCAGCTAAGTTAGATTGGAGCAAGATTTTACGAGAACATATTCTTAACATTCGAGATGGAATGATTTCTCGATTTACTTACTGAAGCCTAGAAATAAAACCGTTGATGCAGTTCTTTTTTCTCAAATGTAGAACAAGATGTTGAATTTGTATGATTACATCATATTTGAGTGATTTCATTTTTACTCCAATTTCTACAAGTAATAATCTGATAATCCCCAAATAAGAGTAATCTATCCATTTAATCCATCTTCACATTGAATCAACACCAACAACAAACTCAATGTAGTATAAGGTTTGAAAAGGATAGACTATACGTAGATCTTACTTTTTAACTTGTGAAATTAAAAAAAAAAGAGACTATTTTCAAAAGATAGTCCATACGTAATAGATCAATATCAAATCAGCTAAAAGAAAAACACACATAATTAAGAGGACATAATGAAAAGAGACCAATATGGATTGTGGTGCTTTAACAAGAGTTTTTGGGTTTGAGCCCTGGATATGGAAAAAATCTTATTGGAAGCGTCATCTCAAATAGGCTCTGCAGTGTGCGATTCGAATTTAGTCAGATTCTGATTTTTCTTTTTTACGATTAACCAAAAAATTGACAAAAAGATACTCCCTCTGTTCACTCATTTATCATGTTTTACTTTTCAAAAGTTAATTTGACTAATTTTCAAAGTTAAATTAGATTACATTAATTTGTTATTTTAAATAAAAAATTAAATATTTAAAAACTATATAAAAATTATATTATTTACATATAAATATAATAAAAAGATACATTTAAAAATATTAATTAAAATTTTTATAGTTTAAAGCTATGACAAATAATATTTGACGAAGGGAGTAAATTTAAGCGGAAGTTGATACCCACAAATTCCAAAATATTAAAAAGGAAGCCTGCTCTTAGTTGGAAAAAAAGTGAACAGTTTAAAGAGGAAACGCCGCCAAAGCATTTGCAGCAGCTAAAAGGGACGCTGTTTTTCTACAATTCTTCGCCGGAGTTGTAATTCTAATCAATGGAAATAATTTGCCCAATTGATGCACAATACTCAGACCAGATTGCCGCACTTCTCAAGCCGCCACCTCCACTAGAAGTCCAGGCATAAACTCTTTTCTCTTTTTTGTTTGTTGGAGTTATCCTTTAGTCTATTAACTGTTTGATGAATGTTCACAGAAGTATTTTGAAGAGCTTTTAGCCACTAGACAATGCGATGGCATCAAAGTTAAACCTACTCCACGTTATGGAAAAGGTAATTCTTTCGAAATTTCATTGCGAGTTGAGACGCTTTGTGTTTATGAACACGACTGCTGATTAGATATGGATTATGGAGCCACCGGGAGTAGTTTTGTATTGTGGCATATTTGATTGATTGATTGTCTAATGTTGTGACATGAAACTAAAGTTAATAACTTGATGAGGAATCTCGAAGTGTGGGTTTGCTTAACCACTTGTTAGGGAATTTTGAAATGCGGGTTTGCTTACCCCAAACGAGTTTGTACTAAAGTTCGGTTCTTTTCATGGGTTTTATTAATTAATCAGCACTATATTGAGATTTGTGGGATCATAGGGGTTTATGCTGAGACGGATTTCAAAGAAGAGGACCTTGTCTTGAAGGATCAAATGCTTGCTGGTGCCCAACATCCTTCAAATAAGGTATTGCTGATGGAACTACTGGCACAGTGTCATTTTCTTCCTCACAGTAATCATCTGACCTTTTTTTTTTTGTTATTTTTTCAATTTTCTCTTGGTGGACATGCTTCACCTTGATCTTTTGCATGTGGCAGGTAGACTGCTTGGTATGTAGTTATTGTTTCTGCTTTGTTGGGTCTATAGAGCTTCAAATTGGGAGGAAGCTATATTTAGAACAGCTGGGAGTCTCCCCTATCGATGAGTGTCATATGCAAAAAGATTGTTATAACTCTGATTCATCTGTTGGTGAAGATGATTCTGATGTAGAAGATCAGCAGGTCTCTGGAGAATGTGCTTCTAGCCCTTCAAAAGATAAAATTTCTCTCCCTAAGGATGTGGTCGAGTCATTGTTTAATGGCGAGATGCGACTACCATATTCTGAGAAATTCTCAATGCCTCCAATTGTTTCTTGTCCAGGTGGATGTAAAGAGAACTACTATTGCAGGTAAACATTCTGCTCTTTTCTATACATAAAAAAAATTCATTCAATAATGCAAAACATCCAAAATTTATTTTCTACCGTATTAACAGTAACAAGACAATGAGACTGCATAACATGACATAAGCAGCTTCTGACACATTTCTAGTCATGCTGAATAGGATCCTTTCAACATCATAATGCTATCTTCTTATTCCAATCGAAGGGTTTTTCTATCTTCATTTTGTTTGAATCTTATCCATTTTATTGGGTACATGAAGGAACACCCCGCATTTTTCTAGATGAATTGTGCAGGGTTTCAGCTTCTTGAGCAGCCTTTCTACCATCTAGGAATAAACCTAAAAGCCTTCTTCGAGATACCTTCATTTTGTTGCAGGCTTGCAGCTATTCAGAGAGTACATGAGGTGGCTGGTATAGCCATATAAACATGTATTTCTAAGAGTCTGCTTGAGCTGCTAAAATTAGAATATCGAACTATTAACTCTAAATGAGAAAACAGATGAACAAATCTTGGTGGTACATTTTCTGTGGTCATATCCTTCTGCTATTCAAAAAGTTAATTAGCGTTAGATATTGGACACCTCTCCCGTGAGATGAACTTATTTTACCATTTTATGCTTCTCATAGTATGATTGTATGACTCTTCTCTTAATTTACTTGACCATAATTATGACTGAATACTTTGCTAACCTTTTTAAATTTTTTTGGCAGCAAATCTTGTGCAGAGGCTGATTGGGAGTCTTTTCATTCTTTGCTGTGCACGGGGGAGGGGTCAAAGTCATTAAGCACAAAGGCGCTTCAGAAATTTATAGAACATGCTAATGGTAAGGTTCTAATGTGTTTGCTATCTATTATGGTAGTCTTAGTTCATAACTCACCTACCTATTTATCTTGTTATTCAAGCTATTTCCTTTTCTGGTTTCTTCTGCCAGATACAAATGACATTTTCCTTCTTGCAGCAAAGGTAAGTCCTTTTCTTTTCTTGATGCAACTTGCCTCTTTCCCTTTTTCACTTTTCCTGCCAAACTGCAAAGAATTTTGAAAAATAGTTCATTTCCTATTTTCTAATGTCTTTCATCTCTTTTATTTTCATGTCAAACTGCAATTCTTCTTAGGTTAAGTGAGGTGCATATGCAAAGACACAAGTCTCTGTGTTTGTATGTCTTGCGACATGTAAGCAATTCCTTGCAAACAATTTTTTTTTTTTAATAGGTTATTTCTTTCACCATTTTGAGACATAAGAATTTGAAAGAAAGTCGTCATGAGGGAAAAGGGAAGCAGGTTATTTCAGAAAGTATTGATTTTTCTTTACTGGGGGAGGCATGGAAGCCCGTGTCCATGGGCTACAAACGAAGGTACTTAATTACTCTTCACAAGTTGCTATAAACTGACTTTTAACCCGGTTGAAGAAAAACTTATGCTCTCACAAGAAAGTGCATATGCTTGCCAAATTATTAGTATCATATATTGTCTTTCCTGAATTACATCCGCATGGTGCTGGCTAGCTGCTTGATTGTAGAACTTGCAGGATATTCCCCAAGAAAGGAAATGTGGAATGAGTCATATCTCAATCCACTTCAGGGACCACTTTATTTAAAAATTTGACTCATATAGTATCCTCACTCTGAAGATAACATTGAAAAAAAATATTGGAAATTTAAAATAACTCAAAATTTTGTCTAGTCTCTTGATAGATCAATCATATTTGGTAACGAAACCATTGACTATTTTAGTCTTCTTGGCATTCAAGTTTGTGTTGTGTCCATATCTTAGTTGTTGACTTAATTTACAAACTTGATGCATCTTGAAATTGCTTAACTTTTGTTTTGATATCCTACAAAATACTATGCCATCTTGAATAAAGAAGCAATATTACTTCTTATTGCGACCTAATATAAAATAAGTTATAGCTTTTGTTGCGACCTAATATAAAATAAGTTATAGCTTTTACATTTGTTGCCCTAATTTCATCTTGAATAAAGAAGCAATATTACTTCTTATTGCGACCTAATATAAAATAAGTTATAGCTTTTCCTCTCTAGTTAAGCTTTTACATTTGTTGCCCTAATAATCATGACTTGGAGCTTATAGGCTCATCACTGTTAGTATCCTCCAAGTCATGATTATTTGTCTTTTAAGGTTCCTGCATTTTCCCCTAGAACAAATAACTTGAAATTTTGTGGTGTCAAGTATGACAAATTTGACTACAATATAAATATTACTCAGAGCTGAACTTTCTAAACCTGAACTTTTTTAATTTTCTTTTTTTACGAAATAGTAAAATCTTCGTATGTGGAGTATCGGGCTTCTGTGCCAGGCTGATGCATGATTATTCTATTTGTCAAGTTTCTCTTGTAGTTTAAAGTGACTTTTTGTATAGGTGGTGGGATTGCATTGCTTTACCAGCTGATGTTGATGGTTCTGATGAAGCTTCATTCCGAATGCAAATAAAGGAGCTGGCATTAACGGTAATCCTTGGTTCCGATGTAACCTGCTTGCGTTTTCCACCATCACTTCAATCTGCTGAAGTATCTATAGTTTGTCAGCTTCAGCTGCATAGGAGTAGTTTTTTCACTTGTCATCAATCATCTGTTGAACTTGTTAAATTGTCCCTCCTTGGGCTCTGCAAGTGGACTCTATTATTAGACCAAAAAAGGGTTTACTTCTCTTCTATTTTGGCTGAAATAGATGAGCGCGTTGCAACTCTCCTCTTTTATAAGATTCAGAAGAAAAAAACTCTCCTCTTTTATAAGATTCAGAAGAAAAAAACTCTCCTCTTTTATGATCTTCCTTCCATATTTGGTCTTCTTAAGGACCAGCTTCAAGCAGGAAGAACCTTTTCCCCTAATCGTTATTTACATGGTAAGAATAAATTGGTTTTTTCTTCCAGAACATAATGGAGCCTACTATTCCTGCTGTAATCGATGTGGAAGTTGCATGCTACAAACATCGATCAAATTAAATGTGCAAGTTATAAAGAACAAACAGTCATAAGCTAAAACCACATTAATGAATTTCCATTTTGATTATCTCATGCATCATCAGTTTTCTCCTAAGAATCAATACTGTTCTGATGTTGCCTGGAGTACACTGTGTTATCGCCTAATCTGAAACTGTTACTCAACTTCTTTCCAAGGATATAACAACACTGTAGTCTTAATGTAGCGAGATAATTGGAATAAGTCTTGCTTAGGAGTTAAGTTTAAGCGCATTTGTCAAAATTATGTGCTCTCTTGCTGCTTTATATGTGACCCTCCATACCTGTGTATTTTGTTTTATATTTATCTGCATGAATTGCTTGTTGTATTTTTATACTGAAATTTGATTTATCAGTTTGAATTATCCAGTCTCTGCAGCTTCTCAAGGAGGCTATCTTTGATGAGGAATGCCAGCCATGTATCCTAATTACTTTTGAATCAATTGACTGCTCCTCTTATTTGTAGTAATTTTTGGTATGAATGTGGTTCAAGATGGATTCCTTGACTCTTACCAGTATTCTCGCTTGAAATATATGGCAATATCATTGGCATGTTTGAGCTGAATAACCTGTAAGTATATGATAGATAAACTACCTTAGTTTTATTTCCAGTACGCGTGCAATAAATCTGATGATCTTTTGCCTTCTTCTGCAAATCGCATGCAAAATAAATTACCTCTTCCCAAATGAATGTCCTAATTTGAGTTGGCAAATTTACTACTATGGCAGGAGAGTCCCTTGTTGCATAACATATTCTTTGAAATCATTAGGGCTAGAACAATTTAAAGCAGGGGTGAGAAGCATATGAGCCATCTGCAGATAATATTTTGATATTGATAATTTACTCCTTCTCAAAAGTGGACATTATTTTGATGATGAGCTTGGCGCATTTGATTTTTGACTTGTACATTTCCCCTGGCATGCTGCTATTTTTACTCTATGTTATTCTGTTCTTAGTTTATTCTTATGTTATATGTTGCTGCTGTGAACTTAATTAAAATCTTTGCTTGTTAATAGTGATTTGGTGGTAGAGTCACCAGTGGAGGATTACTTTCTGTATATTGATGATCTTCCTCTCTCTGAAAAGGTTAAAACCGAGTCCTTTATGTGCTTGTGAAGCTTGCTAGCATGCAGAAATTTGACAGCATTACTTTTATGATAAATTGGCAGGGAGAGGTTGAGCAAACTACAAAGCCTATCCTAGATGCTCTTGGTGATGACTATTCAATTTGTTGTCAAGGTATACTATGATGTGTGACGTGAATATCAAGGATGATTTAAACTCCTACACACACACACATACACGCCAGGTTCAAGGTTTCTTAGGACAAAGTTCTAGTTGGCAATAGATATATGGTGTTAGGGGTGGATACAATATGGATCTGTGACTACAAGCTTAAAATTTCTGAGTTATATTTAAAAAGGAGATATCATGGCTGGGGACTTTGTATGTGGTTCTTGCATTTAGCTGATAGGATGCATTTTCTCTTAACTTCATTGGTTGTTGAGTAGTGCATTGCTTTCAAATTCTGCAAGAGACAGTTCTCCTTTATATACCATAGGCAATCTTAGAAGTTATCTTGCAGAAGGGGTAAACTTTTGCTGCTAGCATTTCAACTAATGCAGAAGTTGACAAGGCATGTTTAATTCAATGGCACATCTTTGCTACCTTCTGTAGTGCTAAAGAATATGAAACCCGATTTTCTCTGTTTTTATTGATTTGGAAGTGTTGTACAATATTCATTGCTTTATAGAATAATCAGTTCTTGGAAAAGACACAAGTAGCTGCTGGGAATTTTTAAAAGAAGTTGTGTGTCTAAGTGGTGTCTCTTTACTTTTCCAATTCTGGTTCTACCTAGTTTTATGTGTATATATCTGAATCATAATCACAACCAATCTTTGATAAAAGGTACTGCGTTTTTCCCCTTGCAAAGCTGTATGAACCATTCCTGCAGACCTAATGCAAAAGCTTTTAAGCGAGAAGAGGTATGTTCCGATATCTGCAAATTCTTCCTTTCTATTCTTTTCTCTCAATGGAATAACATCTTAACTAGGAAGAAAGAACAAGAAGGGCAATAGAAGACTTGATTTCAGGCAACGAATGAAACCTGTAAAGCAGATAAATGACTAGTGTAGTGAGTTCTCTGCAAGTAGGTATGGCGTTGCAACTTGGTTAAGGGCTCTAATTCACCACATCGTCTCCGACATTCTTGAAAGTAGAGAACTCATGGACAAATCATTATCTGGAAACATATCCGAAGGAAATTGCACTGGAATGGAAGTTGTTATTCTTGCATATGTAACACTATAAAGAAACCTTTACTTCATCATTATTTTGTGAAATCTGGCTGGATATAGTTAAACTATGCTTAAACCAGCTCCAAATTGCTCAGTAATATATTTTTCATAAATTGTGAAACCTGTTTACAAGACGATCCTGAACGTTTGATATTGCATTATTAGGATCGAGATGGCCAAGCAACCATAATTGCTCTTCAACCCATTGCCAAAGGAGAAGAGGTAAGCTCTCAACTTGTGTTTATAGTTACAAATTCATTGTGCTTGGGAGAATTTACTTTCAGAGTCGCTGGTTAATAAGTTCCGAGGTGTTGATATCTGCAGATAACTATTTCATATATCGACGAGGACCTTCCTTTTGAAGAGAGACAGGCATTACTCGCAGACTATGGTTTCAGATGTGGATGCTCCAAATGTCTAGAGGAAACTTAGTTAAAGATCAAAGGCAACTTCTTGAAAATGACCACAATTTTGGAACATGTAACTGATGTACAATATGGATTTAGAATCTTCAATGAACTAGGAGAATAGTTTTGAAATTCGAAATTTTTGTCAATTTTGAATCAAATTGGAAAGATCTTCAATGACTGAAGAAAAATTTAGAATCTCAAAATTTTCGATTATATATTCGATGAACCTGAAGATTTACAAAAGAAATCGTTTGTCCAACAACAATTCCATACAATCCTTCATAACTCATCCCGCTTTTCAAAATTTTGACAAATATCTTTAGGAAACAGATATAACAATGAACAAGAAGAAAAAATTTAATTTTTTGATTTTTTTGGATTGTTACATGATAGCATTTTGAATTCTTGACAATAATTCTGAATGGAATAACGTAATTTGTGGAATCTTAATTTAATTTTCAGTCCCTTTAATTAGTGAAAAATGGGTACTATGAGATGTTAAATTGATACAGCTTTCTTTCCTACAGTAAGTGCAACAGATTGATAATGTATCAACAATAATGTATTCTGATCCTTAATTATGTATCTGAAATGTCTAAAAAGTATGAAATTTATGTAATTATAAAAGAAAGTCATTTAAATTTTACAGGCATTTATATAAGTTATACATTTTTTATTTCATTATCTTGAAAGGGTGCCTGCAATTAGAACAATTAATAGAGCTACTTGTCTCACTTCATTTTTCTTTTTTTTATCCGCCAGCCATAAAATTGATTTAGTTTGTTTATGATAATACAGTATCGGAGTAAACCGATCGATGTGTACTCAGGAAGAGGAAACGTAGGAGGGAATTATAATACGGCGAAGAATAAAACTTTTATCAATAAAGAGGAAGTAATCAATTAATTGAACTATTGAGATTTTTTGAGATTAAATTGTAATTTAATTATAAGCTATTTTTTTCAGTATCGTGGCACAAGGTAAACACTTTCAGTTGCCACGTGTTGAAAACAAATCCCAATCGAATCGTACAAGTAAGGGCACAATAAATCTTAATCAAGGTTTAGTGCGTATTAGAATTAGTTTATTTTTGATGTGTTTTTTACTTTTAAGGATTTTTAAATTTTGGAACATGTTTGGAAACAAGTTTTAAGTATTCACTTTTTTGCCAAAAAGTTTAAAAATAAGTTTAAAATATTTTTAATTTTTGACTTATAAGTTATTTTTTTCGTTTTAATTTATATGTCGTTTTTATTAAAAATAAATAATTTTATTTTTTTAATTTTAAAAAATCAATACATGTATTTTTTTTCGGGTGTAAAGCGAGCGTGCTGTTGTGTATTAGTTTGATAATTATAGTTGAAACAATCAGTTGTATGCAATACATTTTTATATATAACAGTGGTGTTTGGGCGAAGGTTCACACACTCGACTATTCCACCGGGTGCCCACTACTTCCCAATTACATAGGTATTGCGTAACTCTGCCCATTCAGACAGATGGGAAAAAATCACCTAGTATATTTGTCACAAGATTATATGTAGTACCTTTGATACAATTTTGGTGTTTTATTAAGTAGATGAACTTGATTTATCAAAATAATAAAGATACTCTTATACTGTTTAAGAGTTAAAGAAGTGACATAACTCAAGTTCAATATGTCCTATTTATTTTTGGACTAAGTTGGCTATACCCCAGAATAAGAATAAAGGGGAACTTGGATCAGTAATATAAAAGCCAACAACAAGTTCTTCTGTTCAAGTAATAGTGATGATGGAGATACACGAAGGAAGAATGTTATGGAAAAGAGTTGTACATGCGAAAGAGGATCTTAATATTTGTTTAAAGTCAGTGTTATGTTCCTATAGTATAGGTAATAGGTGTATGGAAACAGAACTGAAATGTGGCAAAATAGAAAAGTTTAGGATGAGCTCTCTTGTAAAACTCATTTTATTGTTGGGGATGAGCAAAGATTTACGGATGGGATCGACTCATATAAAGGATCAATTTCCATGGTTTCGCTAAATAAAGTGATAGAAATACTGCGTAGAAGAACTAAGAGGTCCTGTCGGTAAAATATACTATGATTTAATAAAGCTAAAAATGATTCATGTAAATGCCAGTAGACGTTGAAAGGAATTTTATCGTCTGGGGACTGAAGTAGAGGACAGTTCTTTTTCTCAAATTCTTATGTGGTGCGACTACTCTTTTCATGGGATTGCAAAATATGAATCCCCTTTAAATCAAGTAGTCCCTTGTATAGGATCAGGAGAATAGAAAGCATAGGATGGGTGTTGCTGCCATACGTTTAGGCATCAAGGATACAATGAGATCATCCATACCTCCTAATTTAACCTTGTTTCCCCAAATCAATGTGCAGTCTGAGATTATATTGCTGGTCTTCATCTTTCACTTCTTTGGTTAACTTCTGATGTTCCCATCCTAATTGTGCCAGGTACCAACTGTGGGGGATATGGTGGATATGTGGAAGAAAAATCAAAATCCATTTGGGATACTCTATAGCTGGTTAATTGCTTAGGTATCATTAGCCTCTACATGTATTATACATAGTTTTGAAATTCTACTTTACTTCCTAAAGTAATAGTGCCTTTCATCTCTTGGTCCCCTCTGTCTCTTGGTTCCCCTTTTTGGTGGCATATGAATTGTTAGTTGGATTTCCTTCATGTTTTAGGTTGCTACCAGCTTGAAGTTGTACCTGGGGGTGAGTTCCGTGTGGCCTATGAAGAAGCAATGAAGTATGGGGGAAAGGTGATACTTGGTGACTGTCCTGTGCAAGTAAGATGCTTTGGATAATTCAAGCTTTTTAAGATATTGAGTTAAATTTCTGGTTTGTTAATGAATAGCATTCTCTGATGGACGAATGATTAAAATATATCAAAACTTAAAACATGTCAAAATGATGTTTATTTTTTTTATTTTTAGTGAAAATCAGAACTAAAATAAAGTCCGAATTGCTCCATTATGTCTCCTGGTCTCTTGCCGTGGATAATTCAATTGGAAAACAATTAAATTAGTTTCATTTAATATTTTTTTATACTAGACTGGTTAACTGCAAAAATTGCATAATCTCTTCCATAAATAAATTCCCAACACCTTAATTACTACCATGATCTCTCCTAACTGCTTTCTCCAACAAATCATTTGTGTCCCAGATTCTAGTTTCTGTTCAGTTTTGTAATCCGTGCCATCCAACTCAATAATTTGGCTTTTCCAAAGACTGCAAGATATGTTCGTTATTGTTTCAATCAAGACTTGTAAAATTACTTTTCTTTGTAATTATATTCTGAACATATTTGGAAGTATTTTCAATATACTTTCTTGTGTATCATTTTGCTTCTGCATAATAAATCAAATATTCATCATTGACCCAAAAAAAACAGAAAAAAAGAACATGCTTTGATTATTTTTCAACTCCAAATCACTCTATTAAGGTTAGATGTTTCTTGTATTTTTTTTTGGTTGGTTCTATTTAACTCATGTAGGTAACCCAGAATTCTTTTTGCAGTGTATGTCCTCCCTAGTTCTAGAATAGCCACCTTTGTTTATGGAGCTAATATCCATTTTTTGCGAGCTCAATTCTGATATCCTTGTTCTATCTTTTGCATCTACATGATGCTAGTAATGAAAGATTTACTTCATCCAAGAAAAAAGATGTAGTACTTGTCTAGTGGGATTGGAGCTGTAATAAGATATGTAATGCTTCTTGATACTTTACTGCTCTTGCAGTACTACAATTTTTTCTTCTGTTTTTACAAGTTCTGCAAGTAGGACAAAAGCATACTATATTTCCTGCTCAATTTCTTGTTTCTTGTAATGTGGAATCGCTTTTTCATTTTTCATTTTTGGATAAATTACTCTAGACAACCATGTAATACAACTCGATCATATACACACTCATTGTATTTTAAAATCAACCATTTGCACCCTTTATACTATGGAATCCTACACCATTATTAGCATGCATAATATTCATACTAAGTGTAGTAAACTATAATTACTAGGAGGAGAAATTACAATTACAAGAAAAAGTTTGTATATATATAATTTTAAGGAATTTAAGCAAATAAACATTTGGTAAAAATATATATTCAACACCTTTGACCATGTATCTTTCAAACCCCACTTGTGGGATTTCACTAGGAATGTTGTTGTTAACCTTTCAAACGTTACCTATCTTTTGAACAGATAACATTGGGAAGAACATGGGCAAAAATGCAGCTTTGGCACAAAACAAAATTCTTGTCCTCCTTGTTATTCCAAGCATTATTTTTACCGAACACGGAAGACCTCAACAAGATGGTAGGGATGCTTGGATAATACTCTTTGGCATTGCCCGTCTCTGCATATTGGATTTGTGACAAATAAAGGATGTTACTTACATGGTATTGAACTTCTGCTGTTGAGCAGTTGAAGGAAATGGATGATGTCGATATGTTGACTCTTGCAATTCAGGAAATGAGCAAGCGCTTCCCCACTCTTTGGACTACTCTAGTTCATGAGCGAGATCTGTAAGTGCCTCTAACTTAAATACATCCCACTAAGCGTGTGACTAAAATTCTCTTCTGGCCCTACCTCTCTTCCCCACTCCATCTCCTTTTGTCTGTACGGTCAAATTTGTTATGCTGCCTGCCTTAGTTGTATGCAATACTTGGTTTCTTTATCTGGCTTATGTCTAAAACCAGACACTTGTCATTAAGTCCTGAAGAGTGTTATATTAGATTTAGAGAGCTTGTTGGATGTAAGCCCTTCAAAATAGAACTCAGAAAATAATCTGATTAATTATTCAACATATTCGAAAAGTATGTTGTGTCTAGCTATTTGGCTTTCTACATGTAGTTTGGCACTAATAGAACCTGCATTTTGTTTAGAGGTGGCCTATTTTGGTTTAATAATGTATCGTATGAGGATACATTTTATTATAGGCTTTTGGGAAAGGTAGCTTCACATATATTGGTGTTAGTCGCTCTGTAAAGGTCGATGGGAAGTGTTATTAGGAGTGAAAGGATACCTTAATATTTGGTACTCAACAAGTGTATGAGGTTCGCAGTGTTCTCCCTATTTTGCAGTGGTGCTTTTTTTTTTTAAATTTTTCTGATGAAGAGAAATTTCTCAAGCAGCTCTTGATCTCAATGTGTTGGTATAATTGTCAGTTATTGCATATCATATCATTTATTCACAAGCATTTTATAAATTTCCATTTTTGCGACAAGAAAAACTTGGGAAGGTAGAGTGGAAATTAGTGTGATAGAGTATGCTAAGTCAGTCAATTGAATTAACACGTTGCTTCAATAAAAATAGGACATCCTTCCTATGTTGTTACGCGTAAGCACTGTCAAGTCAATAGTTTGCAAAGTGGAAAAGACAGACTTCTTGTATCAATTTTTTATCACATAATGATGGATTACATGCACCACTCTCAAGGAGTAGGTTCTGGGGTGAGACAAACCAGTATTAATTGAAATATGTCATGATGTGTTTGTTGCGTCCTTCGCTAACATATATTTCCAGCTTATCAGTTCTTCATCGCATCAATTTACTAGTATTTAACTGTGTGAGCTTTTGTAAATGCAAATGAGCTCACTGTTCTGTTTATTTACTTGAAACACACGAGATTTATGGTAATTTTGGTCTTCCTGGCATTTAAAACAGAATCTTTGAAGGATGACAATGAACCTGACACTTATTTCGACTTTTGATGATGTTCTAAATACTGAATTACAAATGTTAGAAATCCGCCTCTATCTGTCCTTCCACAGGTTCATGTCATCTACATTACTAAGAGTTGCCGGTGAACACAACTCTGTTGTAGCAGTCGTTGGGAAGGGTCACCTTCCAGGAATCAAGAAGAGCTGGAAACAACCCATTGAGGTGAATAAAAGTCGTTGCAAATGTAGATAGAACTAATGATTTCTCCTGTACATTGCAAAGCATTGGAGCAGTTTTTTGGCTTACCTATCTGCATATTTAGTCTGACAAGTTGGATTTGAATGATTTTTTGTTTATAATCCGCTGCCACAGCTTAATGAACTACTCACAATTCCTTCACAGAAACGTGCCATCTCTGTCATAAAATCTTGTCAACACTTGGAGTTGCAGTCGGCAATAATATCTGGCATTTACACTTCAATTAAGAAATAACATCATTGGCTCATATACGTTTAGATGCTGAGGTCATGCATTCAACTCTGATCTGTCCTACTGCTGTCGGAAATGGGGAATCATTGTTTTTGCAAAATTCCCTGGTAAGCCAGATTGAATTTAGATAGTACAAAATTTTGCCCCAACTCTTTTTATCTCACTCCAACTTTTCTCGGTCAGTATACCATCTCTGTGTTGGTAGAGCACCACTTCTTTACATAATATTTCCTGTTGTACACATTCTCAAGTTGATTGATATTGAATGTTCGTTGTTTAGCCACAATCTTTTACGCTCTCATAGTGATTTGTAACTCATCTTGGGTGATATGGGAGATATCTAATCCTAACTGATCAAAAAGAATTCCAATGTTTGAAGGTGGAAGGAACAACTTTGCTTCTAGGGATCATATGCGACTCGCAATCAACTTTGCTTCTCAGCCAACATGTTCAATACCAGGTTTGCCTTGTAGTTTCCAGGTCTTCATCCATATTCACATATTTGAGACTTTGCACGGTTGCAAATTTACCAACCAATAGCTATAATATGACACTTCTCCGGTACCACTATTTTTTTTCACACAGCATGTAAATTTTTTTATGCTTTTCATTCATCCTTCTAAAAAAAGTTTTACAAGCATCAAAAATGTAAATATTATGTACAGGGAGTACTTGTTGCATTGCACTAAGTTATGTTGAAACCAATTTGTTCAATTTTTAAATTTTGAAATCACAGAATCCTTGCGTAACTGCTAAAGCCTACATTACCTCGAGTACATATTTTCCGTTGCCATCACCATGACATAAAAAAAGGTTCACTTAGTTGTCATTTCTAGCAAATGTCCATAATATTCTATTTTAAAAATAATATGATTACATATTCAAATTTCATTTTCTATAGCTGCATTATTCATATCAAAGGCGCAATGACAACAAGTTGTCAAAGTTCTTATATGATCCATCAATTAGAAATGTAAGTAGCGTTTCCAGGATAATATGGCACTACTATAACAAGTCCATCAATCAGGATATAACCACTCACAATATTGCGTCTGAGCCATTATGCCAAGAGGAACTAACCATCCCCCAGAATTGGTAATAGACGCATTATTATTATTATCTAGTTAAGAATTTTATGTAGAAATATTGAAGGGCCTCAGTGTGTGTAACAAAATCAGATCATTGATAATTAAATCTCACTGAAATCCGCTAAGATAATTAGAATAATCATCATAAGCCATGACAAATAAAAATTGAAAATCATTGAAGTAATTACAAAAATCAATCAAAACAGGTGTGCTCAGACAGCCAAGGGTTTGTCTTCAACCAATGGGGGTCTAAATCCCCAGATCAGAAACTCTAGTCCACAAAATTGCTTCCTCATCACACAGTTATAAATTCAAATAATGCATTCAAAAGAACAATAGATTTCGTTGATTAATTTTAAAATTAGTGATTCACATAGTAGTACATGCATAATCTAATTAGTGAAACAAAAACATTAAATTGATTAAAGGAAATTTAAGTAGCGTTTCCAGGATAATATGGCACTGATTACAAGTCCATCAATCAGGATATAACCACTTTCAATATTGCGTCTGAGCCATTATACCGAGAAGAACTGAAAATCCCCCAGAATTGGTAAATAGACGCATTAATTAACCAACTATTAAGAACCTGTGACAAACAAATTACAGATTCAACCAATCAAATTAGAGAAAAACAGATGTAAAATTGATAGAAAAAATGATGCTCAGTGGAAGGAGAAGTCGTTAATTAATAAGCTCACGGAGAAGGCTTTTAAACCTTCTTCCACTGCCCAATACACCCTATGGTGCTTAATCTCATCACAGCATACTTTTCCATCAACAAACGAATTCAATTAAGAAAAAAAATCATAAATTTGAGTAAATAAGTGGTTATTGAAAGGCTTCAGTGTGTGTAACACAATCAGATCATTGATAATTAAATCTCACTGAAATCCGCTAAGATAATTAACTTTATCATCATAAGCCAGATCTAAGTATTATCAAAGCAACTCCTAATCGTTGAAACTGCAGCAAAAGCATGAGATTATAGAAAGACAAAAACAGGAAGATGAAGAAGAACAAAGTGTGCTCAGACAGCCAAGGGTTTGTCTTCAACCAAATGGGGGGTCTAATCCCCAGATCAGAAACTCTAGTCCACAAAGTTGCTTCCTCATCACACACATAATAAGAATTGAATACAGAAAAAACAAACTGAAAATTCAAAAGATATGAACCATAGCAAATAGGAAGAAGAAATCCAAACATTACCGATAACCAGCAGAAGACGATGAAGAAAGCAATAGAGATGAGATGTATATATAGGGGGTGGGGTTGGGATGAGGGTGGGGTTGAGTATTTGACGCAGCTAGGGTTTTGTGTACTGTTTGGGCTGGGTCGAATTTTGCTAGGGTTTTGGAGGGACGATCAATAATGGGCCTATTGCAATATGGACGGGTCTATTGTTCAGGTTTTGGGCCTAATATGAGAATATTACTATAGAAAATGTTATATACCTAATTTCTAGTTCCCAATTTTTCCTTGAATATGGTTAATACATGGAACTTGAAATTACGATATAATTTATTTATTCTAAGAAAATATGATCGAGAAGTGGTTAGTAGTCGTTGCTTCTACTATTCGTTACTTTATATTAAATATATATTCACTATACATATAATATATACACCTATACACAAAAAAGATCTAGTTAAATTGTATAAACAATATATACTTCGTCGTGTTGGTATATTAGATGATCGAAGGTACATTTACGTAAGTTATTAGGTGACATTGAATAATAAGAGGACATTCATCTTGCCTAAAGAGTTAGAGAAGCTAGGCAACCATGTGCATTGCCTAAATTGTCATGAATCAAGAGTGAAGAATCCAAACACCTAATACATTGATACATCAACATTTTAAGAAAATGTTAATGATTCTCGATAATATGACAAACTAATTATTGGTTTATCACTCCTATCTTCCTTCTATTCTACTTGTTTTCTTTTTGTAAGTGTTTAGTACGGATATAATGATCTATATGTTCTACTATATGTAGTTACGAATTTAGGATTTTTATTTAAAAGGGTTCGAAAAATAAAAATATAGTGTGTACGTAGAATTTGAAAATAGAACCTCGGCCCTTAGATCTGCCCCAGACTATATGGTACTATAATCTCAACTCTTGATTATGCGTGTTGCATTGCTTGTCAAGTTGAGTTTAAATTGCTTCTTGTTTTAGTACTTGTCCGATCAAGTAAGCAATGAAATTCCTAACGATAAATAATGATTATTTCAAATTATAATACTTTAATTGTTTTTTCTAGTATTTGCTTTCATTTTCAACTATAGTTCTTGTTTATTTGGTGAAGTGAATCTGTCAATGGCATACCAACTTACCAAGTACCAACACGTCAGAGTCATTAGATTATTGTGATTAGTGTACACATACGTAGAAGAAGTCTTCCATGTTCTCCTCTCCAAGTATTAAACTTTCTTCATATATTTCGTCTGTTTTTATGAATTGTGATGGGATGATTGAGATTTTTTTTTTCTTAATTAGAGGTTTCAAATTCGACCCTTGAATGTAGGAAAAAACCTGTTGTGATCATTGCTTCTAGAAATAGGCCCTGCAATGTGCAGAACTAAAGAGCATCTCGAAATTATTTTTTATGTTTAAAAAAAATGACTTAGTCTGTTTAAAAAAGAATGATCACTTTCCTTTTTTTGGTAACACTTTAACATTCCACGTGGTAGGTTTAAGGCAATAAAATTAAAGGTCATTTTAGTACATTTGATATAACTTTAATTTAGAGTCACGAAATTAAACTCTGTTACAAGCGAAACTAGATCATTTTTTTTTAAACGGAGGGAGTGTATGTGTTCTTGACCCTTTGCTTGTACTAGAAATTCCTTCACACAAATTGGGAAGGAGTAATTAAGTACAACAAAAATTCTAAAAATAGAAGAGATTTAAGAGTAACGGAGACGAAAAGGCTCTTGTCATTAGAATTTTATTTTGAAGCTACCAATCAAGTTACAAAAGCAGATAACAAACATGCTATACAAAGGTAACATTAATGCAAATAATCCCCACAAAAAAAAAACACAAACAAAAAGCCAAATAATTGAAATTTTAAGTACTAACATTGGTTCTCTATTTGTTCACAAAAGCACATTGCTTTCTAATTTCCCCAAAAGAGCCAGTCTTAACTTCTATCCTTCCCATTTTCTCCATCGCCTTTGCAAATTCCGCGTTGAACTCTTCGAGTGAACCCTTAACTAGCTGGTTGATGTATGATTTTGTTGTAGAACTTGTTGTTAAAGCTGCATCAGATTGAAATAGGCCTCTCCTTTTGAACAAAAGCTTGTAGTAGCTTAGATCAAATGTCCTGAAACTACCAGGATCCATCTCAACTATCGTTGTATTGTCGTTGATTGATTTGCATTTTTCCCCCTTAAGATTGGATGCATATTCACTGTCTAGAGATGGGTCTTGTGTGCCTAAAGCACCTGTGAAATTGTACAAACGTGTTGAAAATGACGAACAATGAGCGATTCCAATGGTGTGAGCACCTGAGAATTAAGGACCTTTGTTGTAGTTATGCCCAAAAAATTGAGAATTATAACCATAGTCAAATGCAAGATCCAAAATTAGTGTAGTTCTGCTTGTTACGAGAACTAGATTCAAGATTTGAACTGATTGTACTTTTAAAAATATGAGTTCAGTCAAACCAATAGTGCTTAGGCTGCACTTCGTTTTGTTCTGTGTTCATTATGGAATATGTGGAAGTAAACATAAAAATAAATGTATATGTACTTCAATTTAGTTTACCAGATAAGAGGACCAAGTCTTTTAAGTCAAGACCCTTGTTGGCAAAAGATGCTTGGAGACTTGACAAGTTACTTGTTGGAGGTGGAATATTTTCCAATGCTTCAGAAGCATTTGATATTTTACCATCTCTTCGACCAGTTGGTACATTCCAGAAAGGTCCTACCTATCATTCAAAGAAGAAGAAAATTAGACAGCGGATTTTGTGAGTTCAAACTATATGTACACACGTGTAATGTTTATTCTGAACTCACTGACTAATTTTAGGTAGGTATGTGTGTTATTTTCTCGAGTTTTATACTTACGGTGACCACAACAGAGTCTCTAGTAATCAAGGCAACAATATCAGCACAAGAAACAACTCCAGGGCATTCAGCTTCAACTATTTTCTTCACTCCATCTATGAATGAGAAACCTCTCAATGATTGATTAGAAATCGCCACTTTTTCAGTCTGATTCTTCGTGCTCGAAGTGAAATTCAGAAGTATAAAACCATCACAACCCTGCAAAATTAATAAAAGAACAAACAAAGAAACACTTGTACCATTAAACTTTTGAGTAAATTTCATTTAGATACTCGATTTTGAGTAAATTGAACATCTGAACATATGATAAAATATAACGTACCCTGACAAAGCAATCATGGAAATGAAGTCGCAATAAGGCTGCTGCAAGAGATGGAGCATTTGGGATGTGCTTGTGGACATAGTCCTCAATAATTTTCTCTGCTTTTGGACAACTCTTGGCATAGAAATTGAGTTGTAACTGTGCATGACTAGCATCTAAAAATATACCTACAATACAAATAACAAAGAGACCCAAGCTAAAAGTAGACATTATTTATTTCTAGTGAAAGAGATCTTGGTATTTTTTTTTCTCTCTGTCACACATCAAATAGAGAGGATGAAAGCCAATTTATAGGACTAGAAATTAGATTAGTTATATTATGTCTCTTTCAATAGAGCTTCTAATTAAGTGAGACTTTCATTTTGACCAACCTCAATCATTTGATGTTTAAGCAAACACCTATATTAGGATTGTTTAAAGGATCAAATACCAAATGAAAGAAAAATATAGATAGTTATTTAGAAAAAATGTTATAAATGTGTGTGTGCGCAATGGTGTAGTTATCACGGAATCAGAAACTTATATAAGAGGATTCAAAAAGATTTTAAAATGACACAATTATAATTTGCACATATGACCATAGAAATTTTTAACCTCCTTTACCACCATACTTGAATATTATTAAAGGTTAAGAAGATTCAACAACTCACACATTATTTTTTTCACAAGCAGCTCATTTTTACTCTATTTGCATAGTGTAAATTTTTGACGAAGGGAGTTGGTTAATTTTCGACACTACTTAGTTCTGTCAGTGGATGGAGCAACCCATGTCCAAGTGGTGTCTGTTGACACCCATTTTACCATAAAATTACATTGTATGTATAAATTGCAAAACTTTTATGTATATATTAAATGTTGATTTCGCTTGAGTTTTTTTATACTTTGATTTCACGTAGTGAAAATTTTGATCCCATCATAGTTTACTGTGCATGTGGAAGTCAATTTTTCAATAATTAGCACTTAGTAGTAGTACCTGCTACGTAGTATAATTAGCACATACATATATATGAATTGGATAAACTGATTTTGCTATTTATTCATCTTTGATGTGAAAGGCATAATGTAAGGATCAACATAATTGCTTGATTAAAATAATAGAGATTAGGTCTTAAAAAGTTGGAATATGGTGGTCTCTTTGTCCATTTTTATTTGTCATTGTTGCGCTTTTCGAAAGTCAATTTAACTAATTTTTAAAGTTAAATTAGATTATATTAATAAGATATTTTAAACAAAAAAATTAGATGTTCAGAAACTCTACCAAAAGTACTATAAATTGCAATTTTTTACATATCAATATGATGAAAAAATACATCTTTAAATGTTAGTAAAAATTATTATAATTTTGACTTTAAAAATAAAAATCATAACAGATAATAGTGAACAGAAGGAGTATTCAATAATAATAATAATAATAATAATAATAATAATAATAAATAAAAAACTTCACCAAAAATCAATTACATATAACTAATCTTGCCTCGATAAGACTGATTGATTTTGCGTTTGTTGAGAAGATAATTAGGCCGATAGTACTTTTTGTCTTAATCAATTTAAGTTTTTAGTCAACTAATTCCCATGCAAAGAGTAAGATCACGTATGCCTTGCCTTAGTCGCAGTGGTAGAAATTTTATAAAGGGTGTCTAACGTGATACTAACTCATTCAAAGTGTTTGAAATCTATTATTAAGATCTAAAATCACTTGTGTCGAGAGGTGTTCAACCGCAGATAGCTCACTCTTTCTAAGAATATTTAAGACCATTACAATATAACCTATACTGATTCAACAACCACTCTTGACTTATCCCCTTCGGAATATAACAGCCCATTAACGTTATACAACTTTGGATTAATTGAAGAGTTCAAAACTCCACGTAAGAACACCTTTCTTCAATAGATAAATATTCTCTTTTTCATAGTGAATACAATTAAAGATTTG